CCTACCGAAGCGGAAAATTGTAAGCTCGTATCATCATCATAAAATCTTTCTCAGAATATCATCTTAACCAGATACTCTCGCTCACTGACAAAAAGGCGCCCAATTAAGGAACACTCAAAAGATCAAAACATATTGTGGTTATTTTTTATCCCATAATATAAGAGTTCTTTTTTATTGTTAACTGATCTTTACTGCCTTTATTCATTTAAGGAAATATGTAAATATACTTTTATCCTTCTAATATTATATTGTGAAAGTTTGTATGTTTGTGTTTATGTTATGCGGTCCTTATATATTTTTTTTATATAAGGGGTAATAGGTACTGAACACATTCTTTAATATTATTATTATTTGAGATTTTAGGGATGAATGAATAAAAAAAGAAAGATGAAACTGTCATCATTGCGAACACTTGAGAGATATATTACGACTCGCTACCAAATAAAAGCATCTCTATTAGCCCGATAATTGATAAGAAGCTCAAAATAATTTAAGTTTTTCACGATTTGATTTCCTCTGACTTTACTTCTGTTTTCTACTACTCAAATGCAAATAATAAATATTTATCAAACTAAAAGAGGTATTATCATTTTATATCAAAAACTAAATAAAATATTGAAATAAACTTTTTAAAATCAATATTCTGATTTTAATATTGGGCTGTATTTTGAATTAAAATTTCTAATGAAAATAATGACTTGACCATCTCTTGCATACATGGGGCAAGTAATTATAAAGCAAAATACTCGGTCTATGGTTGTACTGCTCATTTACATGTAAAACAGGTAAAAACAAGGGTGAATGTAAAGGATAGGAATGTGAGCTTTGTAAACACAGTATTCTAAGGGATTACTCTAGATTCTAAGCTTCAATGGGGCCCACATATTGATAAATTGTCAAATAGACTTAGCTCGGCAGCACATGCCGTAATGAAGATACGCCAGTTAACGGATGTAGATACGGCCAGATTAGTGTACTTTAGTAATTTCCCTAATGTAATGTCGTACGGAATTTCATTGTGGGGAAACGCCGCCGACATTCAAACTATTTTTGTGCTGCAGAAGAGAGCAATTCGATCAATTTATAATATGTAAGTTAAGGATTCCTTAAGAGATAGGTTTAAAGAATTGGGCATAATGACGGTCGCATCACAATACATATACGAAAATTTATTACTTGTAAGAAACAATATTAATTAATAATAATTAATAAATAATTTGTTTGTTAAAAACAGTGATGTTCACACACTTAATACAAGAAACAAAAATAAACTAATTTTACCTGCTACTAGGCTTCACAAAAACAATAATTCATTAAAAGGTCTTTGTGTTCGCTTATACAATAAAGTCCCAAGAAATATCCAAGAGTTAACCATAAATGAATTTAAAGATAGTATAAAAAAAGCAATTATTAAAAAAGCTTATTACAAGGTGTCTGATTATATTACAGACAAAAATGGTTGGGTTTGAACTGTTCCAATAATTCCAACAGGTTTTCTATATTAAAGAAATCATGATTGTATTGACGCTGTAACAACATAATGATTTGTAAATGCTGTTATATTATACTTTTAGTGTTGTGGAGTCTTTCTCGCTCGTTTTTCTCCGCAGCTAAAAGATATGTCCAATAACGAGTGGTAGTAAAAAATGTATGTTTGGACGATTCAAACGAGTTGTACTATGCATCCAATTTGAATAAATGTATATTGATTTCTGATTTCAGATTTTTACAGTACCATAAGCACGAACCAATATTGAATTCGTATAGTTTGCGAGTCTGAAATGTCATTTTCAAATGTGTACTGATTTTTAGTTCTGTGCTGTTCAAGTTTTCATACAAAATTTGACATTGGATCATTTTGGTTTGCAAACTATTCGAATTCGATAATGGTTCGTGCTAGGGGTACAGCTCACTCAAAGTGAAGACTAGGTAGGATAAATGAGATAATGTTCTGTAAAAATATCGCCCATTTCTGTTATAACTCGTATTTCAGTAAGCTTGAAGCGTTTTCCGGTACATACCGAGAGTGAGCGAAACCCTCGGAACAATAAAAGAACAAGGGTATCTGCCAATTTCAATTTCTCGGAATTACTCAAAGTCACGTTTCATCCACTGATGTTATTCTTCTTACTACCAGTCTTTACTCGGAGCTCATTCTTATGTGTATTTTGGCCGCACAGCTACTAGCCGCATGCCAACGATTCAAATCGTTGAAGTTGTCTCGCTAGTTCAATGTCACTTTAGTTACCTTCGATCTAGTAGACCATGTATACAGTGTAAATGGAGCTGTCTACTTTCGAAGTGTTGTTTCGCCTTTCTGTCCTGCAAATTGTACTTGCAGTAATGGACATTTGTGTTTATTTACTTTTATAGAAAAATGACATCCTGAAGAGATTATGTATATATAAAAAATATATTTACAATGCGTTTTTCTTATTTAAAATATGGTTTTTTATTTAACACGAAACACAGTAATAATAAAGAGCTACTCACGCGACGCTAAAATTAAACGCAGTATTCACCATTACTGCATTTGTGTGTATCGAAAAAACCAAAAATCTACAAACGCAGTATTGTGCACTGCATTTAGTTTTAGTGATATTGTTATGCCCGCAAGACCAGAAAATTGCTGTAAATGCAGTGCAATGAGTATTTTATCCAAGTAAGACAATAAAATAAAGAAAAAAATATGTCAATAGAAAGCTCGATTTTTTTACTTTTACAGAGATTTCTTCATTAGACATCAAGAAATATGTTTATCGCGTTTAAATCTCACTTTCTGCAAGTACTGCGTTTGCTATAAGGAGGGCAACATTGCGCACAACTATACTGAATTGAAACTTATATGCCATTTGGTTGATGCTTTTGATAGTTCATTAAAACTCTCACCTTACGGCTGATTCACAAGCTGGCAGCTCGTAGGCTCGGCAGGCTAATTAAGTTAATATCATAATCTCGTGGAGCATTCAGTTGTTTATGAGTTTCCAATATATATGTTATCGTGTCTTCCACGTTCCCTTGTAGCTTTCAATAAACCAAGCGAGCTTTGCGAGTGACAAGATGAACCATGAATCAAGCTATAATGGTGTGGCAAAGCTGCAACCGTTCCCTTTGTTTTGCTCCATATTCAACCTTTTCGGCCACTTCTAATTTTAGCGTAAGTTGCACCATATTAATTTAACTTTAATAGCCTGTACAGGAGAGGCCTTTTGCCCGAAGACTTTTTTCTCCCCTGAAATAGATCGCTCACAAGTGCATCAAGTAACACAAGATGTCTTAGTTAAACAGTCCCCCGAATAACTAAGGACACCGGAGGACCAAAATACGGGGGTGTCCCCGAATAAAAAAGAACTAATGGGGACTAGGCGCAGTAACGTGCATAATGTACACAGTCAACTTCAGTCCTCGTTGCGCGCTCAACCCAATTTAAAGAGATGGACCCTGTATTCTCTTTAAAAAGATTTTCTCTTTTTTTTAAACTTCATGTTAATTACAACACAACTTGATGTGAGAATATTTACTTCCATAGCGTGCGCTTCTCTTAATTTCAGGCAACAAATGTTCGCACACCATGTGCGTTGACATTTTTTTCACGATTCAAGGTCTTTTGTCCGCGGAGAACAAAAAAATATTTTTTTAAATATGAATTACTTAAAAAAATTTTTTTCACTAAGATAATCATAAAATAAACAAAGATAAATAAACAAAGAGAACGTTTGCCACTATGCCACACCGTTACAGAACTACCCCAATGATAACCTTTAACTAGAGCCGAGGTCCAAATCTGGCCGCGTTGTTTCATCGAATGTTAAATTTGACTATATTTAAATGAAATATAAAATATATGCTTATATAATTTGTCAAAATTTTATAAATTTTACTATTAGAGACGCCCTCTAGTTGCGCTCAAAGCCGTTTGGCTCAAATATACGACGGAGAGTATATTGCGCTCGCGATATGTGTACCTCTTAGAAAATCTCTAGAGCTGACTTCATCTAAGGAAAGACTCTGTAAAGGGTCACCTGTGACCGACCTCATGTGTCTATGTCTCATACAAACTCTAAAATGAGCACACTATGATGTCATATAGTTATAGATACGCCATACGCGCTTTTAATTTAGCAATACGAAAGTCAGGTAATTGCCCGACTTGCAATCAGTCAGGCTCGCTTTCTCGCCACGGCTACACTTCGCTACAACGTGTAAATGTTTTAAGTTTTTCCAGACAAAATGCCCTATGTGTGATTTTAGATACTACACAAATTAATCGGGAACTATTAGAAACGAGAAAAACGTGTCATTTCATTCGTAAGTACAGTTATAAAGAAAATAATGTAAAAATATTTAGTGATTACTTATTTTGATAGTTGTTAACACCGCTGCAATGCGGAGACTAAAGAGCGAGATGTAATATACTTTATGAATGAGAGTGAGAGAGATTTCTTTAGTGCGCTCTATCGGCGGCTGTTGCCAAGGCAAGTTGGGGCAAGGACTACTTGTGGCATTTTAAAATGCAATATTGTTGGCATATAACATATCTATATATTATACTTACGTCATTGTGAGCACACCGATTACGATCGACACTCACAGCTTGTCTCGTGTCGACCCTTGCCACGTGACTTGTGACGCGACTCATCCTCAAGTGTAAAGGATGTATGATACATACATAACGATAGAGTTTAAATATATCAAGAAGTTTTAAAAATCAATAACATGTCGAACAGAAGTTCCTAATAAACAACTACGGCAAAACATTTACATTGGTAAAGTTGATAACAATAATGATTGCTGAATGAACTTCAAAGAGTACCTATTTCATTATGATTTCAACTTAATTAATGACTATATTTATTTATACAATAACAACCGAAATAACAATGAAACTTTTGTTCTATCGCTGTCAAAGGTAAAAATAATTTAACGGTATGTTGATATTTTGATTGAATACGTACATTTAAATAGATTCACTGACACGATAAAGTTATTATCAGACTTACGTTATAAATGGCGTATATGAAGGGATTGTAGCAGGAATTGCTCATCGCGAGCCAGTCGAAGCAGAAGAAAAGCACATTTATGTACTTGTATCTGAAAATAAAATTACAGCTTAGTTTTGTATAATTATCTTAGATCTCTTAATTGTAACTAGTAGCTTGCTAATATATATATATGAGCTATAAGGATGCTGCAATTGAGTATTAGTTATAGATAAAATACATAATAAAAACTAAGAAGTTTAAGATTACATTTTTATAACCATATCTAAAATTAATTAGGTATCTGTAAATGCCTTTCACACGCAAAAGTGAACAATTCAAGATGAATTTTATGGAACGGTTAGAAAAAAGAGTAATTGGAGAACAACATTTATTCTACTTTTTGTGGTCAAAATAAACTAAAAGGAGGGTCAGAAATGCGAGATAAAATCAAATATTTCACAGAGATAAAGTCGCACCTAACCTCTTAGTTACTTAGAACTATGAACTTATCCCTAATCATCGTCACACCAACCGTTGCCATCATACGTAACCATGACTTATTTTCATTAATGACAGAGATGATGAAGGAATAGTGTGACTGATATGTCGTCATATTACATCAGTCACTTCTGTGATATGTATAATATATCTCCCTTGGCTATGACTCAGAGACTTCTTTAAAATTAATTATTTTTTCGACTTAAATATTCATATTTTCAAACAGTCCTCCGATGGTATTAAATAATGTAAAGAAAAATATTATAATATCATAATATATCTAATCTCACATCAGAAAATACAAATCAGATTTCACTATTTTAGTTTATATTATGTAAGTTATTTCTTTTAGCTAAGGAAATCTCAACGTAGCGTAAATACAGTCAAGAACAAGCTAGTGTAAAGCTTCGGGGAGATTATTATTTGCGGTTAATCTTATATTTTACAAAGTTTCCTGCCTCTATCGAATATTACTTAAACAGCAACAAGTTGGGTCTATTAAACGAGTAGTAACTCTAAACAAGTATTCTAAATGTGACTAGTTGCAGTACTTGGTAATTGTATCCGTAATCTCAATCAGTAAATAGAATTTGAACATGAAATACATGCAAGTTTATTAATTAAACAGTGACATGTGTCAGATGTGAGCGACGAGGCACACCCATTGTTTTTGTTTGTGATTAATTCCGTAAAACAACTACTCAAACGCAAACTCATATTTAATCTAAATTACTCATGATGTTTTCTACACAAGAAAATGTGCGACATACATGTTACATTATTAAATTTTCTTCTCCGTAATCTGAACAAGATTCCTTATAAATAACATTATATATTTTTACTTGACTTCGGCTAAACTAATATTCTGCCTTCTTGGAAGGGTTTGTAATTTTGACATAATACGTTTATCTTTTTATCTTCACGCTTCACGCTCAGTCCCGGGGTGGAAAAGCAGAAACAATAGAGCTTGTATATATTAGAATTATTATATGACACCGACCGTAAGATACCCCTCACACTAGCGTCTTTTAACTGTCGTTGTCGTACTAGCCTCTGCGCGACGTCAACGCTGGCTGGCTGGTATTGTATAGTTCGCAAAAAAAATGAGCGAGCCTTACAGTAGTCGCGTATGATGTGTAATATTTGAAACCTCGCCTTATATTAGTAAAAAAAGAAATAAAACCTATTACAAAAGAAATAAGCCATTTGAACATTATGTTAGGTTCAAAGATAATTTATTTCCCATGACGACATACAGTCCACTTAGAATGAGAATATAAAAATAACATGCAGTTGTGTATTACTTATTCTGGAACATCGGATATTACAGTAATTTGATACTAATACTTAAGAATAGGGCAAACTCTTCAACACCCTTGAAAAGTAGTTGTCACTTATGTCTTTCTTGTTTTATGACTTAATTGTTCAATGCCAGTCAAAAAATATTCCATTGATATCGTACAATACCGTCAAATATAAAAATAGTTTTATTCATAGTTTTCTTGTTTTGTAAATGACATTTAGTTTTGATGGTTGTGAATTTAACTATCCAATAACCTCTATCTGGAAATTGTAAAATTAGCCCTTATTTTTGTTGTTTGACTTATCTGACTGACAACTTTATCCAAGAATTGAAAAATTAGCTCTTAGTCTAAAAAAACGGTTAATAATAGTAAGTTATTTGATCTTATGAGCATTAACAATGTTATTCTTTGTAAATAACAAAACAATTATATACAATATAATTAAAAGAAATAAAACAAAATCGACTCGACTATTCCTTAGGCGGAAATGAAATACAAAACTTTGCCTTACAGTGACAATACATATTTTTTAATTAACTTTTAAACATGTTTTTGCTATCACATTCCACAATGTCGTTTGTCAACCTATTGTACTCCCTCAAATAATATCGTTTTTTGTCCATAATTAGTTCGTGCCTTACAAAGTTGAAGTTTATTTTTATTTCTAAGATTATGCTTAAAATGTTCTTAAATCAAATCAAATAGCGCGCCTTTTCGTGATTTCCTGTTACACACTTCCACCCTATTTCACGAAATCACTCTCACAAATTGCAGGAAAGCGAGAGGAAAGATGTTACACATTAAAAAGTTGGACTGACACCTCGATAATGCGACACCAGCGCTGCGTAAGCCCGCGGTTCGGCAGCCGATCAGCTCTAACGTCGCGTCGGTTGCGTCGGTGCGTCGACATTGCACGGACATTGGTACGACGACGACGCTCGAAAGACGCTAGTGTAGGGGATCTCTTACAGTAAAAGTACTAATCTACTTTTTGTGGACAAGGTGTTTATTTATTTGAAATTAAAAGAGGAAAATATTTATAAGAATAAAAGATAATTAAATCGACAATTTCGTTTGATGAAATTCTGAAAGGACATAAAAATATTTCGTGTTTTGTATTGTTTAAATATACTTACTCATTAATAGAAGGAAAAAAAGACTGCAGCAGCATATAGCTCTGTAGCGGTAGCCAGCATAGCGCAAAAAGCGCTACCACTAAAACCAGCATTTTTATTACCTGCGTTTGGACAGAAAGAAAAAAGTTAACAAATTACATATATTGGCTGCTTAAATCAATGCTTTCTAAAATCACGTTACAAAGAAATCAAAAGCATTTGAAATGTTTATTATATCTCTCCAATTTTCAGCGTAGTAGATAATAATTTGTGTGGCATCGGTTTAATTTAGGCAAATAATAATCCATTTTCTTTCATTGAAAATTTAATTGAATTCTGAGTCGTTAACTGAAACTAACAAAACAACAATTTTTTTTCACTAACAGATTCTCTTTTGTAAGTATTCATCTTTGTTTGGGACAAAATGTTTTATAATAAAATAAGTCCATGCACAAAATAGAATTAGTTTTACCAAAGTTTTCTTAACTTCAAGAAAACAAAAATGTTTTTTTTTCTCGTAGATAGTTTGAAAATTCAAACCATTATTCAAACGTTATCAAAGATATATCAATTGATTGGGTGGGTTTAAAATATTATCGTGTTATCGAAATTGCGAGAAAGCCTTCAAAGTGTCGGTAATTGGGTCTATTTAACGAAAGCTATTTATCGCTTTAGAAAGACACGTAGAATCGTTTGTCACAGCTGCTTACCCAAATTAGCAATACTTAACTTCCTTGTTTTGGATGAGCCCAATAGCTTTGACGCTAATAAAAATGCTTCTGCCCAATTTATTGTCACACCATCACAAGATTTTCATATGGGACTTCAGTAGTAGTTCTTTATGTTGCTGTTATAATTGGGATCGCAAAAAACGCCTGCCTTTGGGACTTTTAATAGATAAATTATATTCATTTCCCTAAATAATTTCTTTTCTCGCCAAAGATATATCCTAGAGAAAATAACTTTATCGCGTGTCTTGAAAGTCATTAAGAGTTAAGCCCTACACATTCTGCAGACAAAAAGGCCTTTAATCAAAGCCGAGATGCCGACATTGTGTGCGATTTAGATTAAATCCAAATTGTTATTGTGTGCCACTATTAAATAATCTTCTTTAATGTAAATATGAGGGTATTAGTTAAAGTTTTAAAGTTATATTTTTAGTGCTCTTACTATTTTTGCGTAAACGAGCATGTCTTGGGCAATTTACTTTTATAAGATAACAAAATATCATATTTATATTTCACTGTACACAGTGTAGGTATCATTTGTGTTTTAATTTTTTAAAGTCATATATCGTGTTTAGTATAAAATAATAATAACAGCTTCTAATACAGCTATTTTAAGTGATAATTTCTCACTAAAATAGGGAATAAAATTTGCTCAATATTCACTATTATGATAATACTTCTAAATTGTAACTAAAAAATTACATAGTATTATAAAAAGCTCTATAAACTAGAAATATGTTTGTGGGTATTTTTCCGCAGAATAAATAATATTAATAATATAAAAGGGACATTATCCTCATACTTTGAGCTAAGTTGATCACGTACTGCACGTTTTCAGAGATATTTCCTCCCGCGGACGATTAAGCTGTGGAATGAGCTCCCTTTTGGAATTTTGCTTAAAAGCGAACAACAACACGCGGACTTTGTACCTACTTGTTTGCCTTCCAAATATTAAAAAACAGGCCAAGTGCATCTCAAGCTACGCGCAATTTAGGGCTCCGAAGCTGCGCATTACAAAGCGCAAATTTACATCAAACATATAAAGTAGGTAGTATTTCATCTGAAATGCATCTGGGTTATGAGAGCAGTAGCGATTCTGTAAAATCAAATCTCACTTCGAAATTAAATTGTTCATTCTATATCACAATAAGGCACTTCACGCACTAGACGGCCACGACCACGGCCAGTGGCCATAACGTCAGTTGTATTCGCTTGCAATATCAGCGAATGTTCATACACGACCGACCAATAAGGACTGGCCACGGCCACAGGCCGCCTCTGGCTGTTAGACCCATAACTAAAGGTGGTTGATGTATTCATATGATTTGACAATTATTGTCAAAAACCCGATCATATGTGATTGTAAGTGAAATTCTATCTTCGGAATCAGAATCGAATTGCTGGGCCCATAACGGATCGTTATTAAAGTCCACTTGCAGAAATTTTGCCAAATCTCAACTTAACTCATGCCAGATTCAGAGCGTGCGCTGCGTAAAGCGGGGCACGGAGTGGGCATCCGTTCGGCGTGCAGTTTTTATTATTTCATAGCGACTTTGCTGCGCGGGAGGCCCGCTTAACGCAGCGCACGCTCATAGCATATACAATAACGTCAATTTGACATTGACGTTTTGACATTTTTCCATGGGATAGATCTAGTTTTAGTTGAATCGAGACTTAGAAAATTTGCTGCAAGTGGACCTAAGCGTTTAATATTATTATTAAATCAGGTATTATATAGTTTTCTTACCTTTTTCTTATTTTTCATATGATTGGCATCCCTTGTCTCTAACGCGTTGCCAGGAGCTCGTGCTCCCCATAATTTCATCGCCATGTGGACGTACGCAAACGTTATCACGAACAATGGTATCACATACTAGAACAAAAACTACAATGTATATAGTTATTCTTATTAACATGTAGGAGGAGAGTAGCTGCCACGGGCGTCAAAAGTAATACGATAATATGGCCGTCGAAATCAAACATTTTATTTTTAAGAAATCAGTACGTCATCTTACGAGTGAATTCTTATACTAATACTCCAGTTTTCTATGTATATTCTAAATAAAATCAGTTGTAAAAATATTTGAAATTGCTTAACGGGTCGTAAGATTACAATTCAAGGTTCAGCACGGTGAAAATCCACTGATATTAAGTTAAAACTTACTTATGCTACGATGCTACAAACAAAGATTTTGTTGCTACGTGATCAAGGCTGCGTTAAGACCATACTTCAAAATAAGTTACATCTACTGTGCTACGGATATCGAGTCGTAGTCGTAGCACATCAACTACAAAATAATGAAATGTTAGCACATCATATTATTGCACGACGGGTTTGTTGAAATGAAAAATGTATTGACAGAAAAATACAGTTTATTTTAACTTAAAATAACGATTACTTCACCAATCAATTTCAATGAGCAAAATGTTTGTTTAGGCAACATGCACTAGAGTACAAATATAGTTAGACAAACAGTCAGACAATACCGATACATGTATCAAAGAAAATGTTTACTAGAAAAATTCAAGACCGTCCTGCATTTTCCAAATATAAATTAAGAATATATAAGCTAGATGGATGGGCAGACTTTATCTTAGTAAACAAATTAAATCTGACACGTTCATATATTTACTACTTTGCTATCGCTTTAATTTGAATACTTTCCTAGTAAGGTCGATATAAAAATAGATAAGAACTTATGAGAAATCTCTTTATATCTACGACTATCCTATTGAAACATCTCAAATAATATGGTAACGTATTTCCACGCCAAATACTTGCTAGTGTTCCATGAAAATACATTAACTTATCAGAAGTACCCACAGACGAATGACAGCGCTTTTATTATTTTATAATGAATATGAAACATATCAAAATGATATGAAATTTTTTTGATTACTGTTTCTGTTCTGCTGAATAATGTTTTAATCATTCCGGATCTAAAATTCGTAACACTCTCACTCCGAAAAAATTATTTGCAACGTATTTTCATGAAACTATAACATATGTACTTACAAAGACTTGCTCTATATATTACATGATGAAATGCAAAAGCTCACCTGAAATATGTACAAAATCAGTCTGTAGATGGCCAGGGAATGCGACCCAAACTCGCTGGGTGCGCAAAATGGCTTTTTGTAGAATAATTTTGTTTCTGCAAAGGAAAACCTGTTTTCAGTCTAAAGAACGTGTATTCTGATATTTTCCGCATTTTAATTTTAATAATAGACATTTGAATGTTCACGTGCGCCGTCTTTTGTTTTATTTAAATTTTATGTTACATATTACTTTATACTATAAAGTTAGACATACTTTTATTAATGACTATGTAGTAAAATAACTATAATAAGTTCTGTTCATTCTTGTATTCGACATCAAATTCATGACCACATTAACTTAAACAAACAAAAAGAAGGTAGAAAATGACGGCGACAAATATTGGCATAATATTAAAATACAAATTTAATCTAATATTATTAAAATTTAACTTCTATATAAAGATTGAAATAACCTCCGTCAAGCCTGCTATGAAAGAGAATTTTAGAGGCAGTCAGTGTATTAAATTTATAAGTTACAAAACTGTGCAGTTTCTTTCACAAATTTTACCGCTTATAAAAAAACTGTTGACATCGCATTTCTGATACTCCTGGTGTTGCAGATGTATAAGGGCAACTGTGATCACTTACCATCAGGTGAGCCGTCAGCTCGTATGCCTTCTAACAATATAAAAAGTCCTATATATTTAATATTTTTCTGAAAATAACTTTCCATATGATGGAGATATAAAATCTATAAAGGTATGCAAGAGATGACGTTGTATCCGCTTTCAAGCCACTTATGAACACTTGCCCCGGTCATGAATTTGAACCTGCTTCCAACACATATTTTAGCAAAGTTATGAATATCATTAAAGATTTCTGGTATTCCATTTGCAACTGTATTCAATTTATGCCTTCTATACTTCATTCACGTTCCTGAGAGCACTATTTGAGGTTAGCCCTATGCTTCTGTTACGTGTAATCTTAATATCAATTTCTTTAATTTGAATATTTTTTATCGCCCATAGGTGTGTTATTATCGGTCGATAATATCGGACACGTTATTGCCATATTTTTTCACACTTCTATTGCATCGTTATATCGCAGTAGTATAACAAATATCGCAAAAACGCGTCCGATATTAAAGCCAGACCACGATAACTTTGCAGAGTCAATAATCTGGTCACCAGAAAACTTGTTCTAGCAGCCCTTTTAAGACGTCATTCAAAATTATCATCAAGAATCTTTCGTTTGAGGATTTTTTGATTTTTTTTGTTTGTGGTATGAATAGATGAGAGAAAATTGAATTCAGAGAAGTTATTTATAAAATAGTTAGGCATAATAAAGCTGCAAATGAACAAATGGAGTCGGCTGTTATGAAAGAAGAGCAATTGTATGAAGAAATCCTAACCTCAACGAGTGAGTTTCAATGAATTTTTTGATACTAGTTTGTTTTTGTATTGAAATTTTTTATTTATTATTTATTATGCATGCATTTCAACAGTTACATTTTATATATCTAAAATTTAGTTTTCACATAAGGTCAGATAATAAAGTATTGTTTTAACTGTTGGCGAACACTTGTTTCGTAGTATTTATGTTTATGAAAAAATAAGTTCATAAAAAATATTTATTTGTAGTAGTAATTGTATTACCAACAGTTTTGCATTACACTAATTGAAAATTTGTTTTCTTTCAAGGTACTTTATCTGCAGATGATCATATAATAATAGGAAATGCTTTGCAGAGTTGACCATATAAGAGAAAGAAATGAGGTTGAGTATGAGTTGAATATCAATAAGAAATGAAAGGAAAGAACCATAACAATAAAACGATTTTTGCCAAAAAAAGTTTTTTTAACCTTTTATAAGCCAAAAGTCCAAAATAGCAATGACTAAGTATGGGTGGCATTACCCGTTTTTTTATTCTTAAAATAACGAAACGGAGTGTATGTACTGCTTGTACTTCAAGAGTTTCCTCGTTCCGTCTCCCAAAGTACTCCACAGATCTTCACCTAACTAATATGGGACCATCTTGCCAAAGAACTAATTTAAACAAAAAACCTGGCCAAGCACGAGTCTAATATCGCACTATTAGATTTCCGTGCAGTAAAATAATCCTGTTATTGAAGCTCTCTAATATCATTGAGTTATGAAATAGTTCGTTTCCGAGCTCTAGCGATATCTAAATCGCAATTCGCAATATACCACGAAAAATCATTTGTTTGTTTTCATCACAACTTACGTTATGAATCGACGTTTTCTGTATTTGTTGTTTAAATACAGATTTTGAAATTGAAGTTTTGGTATGTGCTGTGCATATGGCACAAACCAAACTTTCACATTCTTAAGTAGTTTCGATTTTGAGATAGCCCTCGTAGCAAAAATGGTTTAAAAATGACGACTTTTACGGCTATTCATTTTTAAGATCGCTTGGCTCCGGGCAGGGACAATGAGGGTGTTTGTGAAAATTTACGTTGCCAGTTGGCGCCACTGTGACGCGAGGTCTTTTGTATGAAGTTTTTGGCGCGAACTCCATAGACCAGATCCATAGACTATGAGAACATATGCGATTTGACCGATGAGTAACCTTTCGTCTCAGTACAGCCACCTGGTGCCCGTCATTTCAGAAAACCCTCATTGAGTTGAACTATCAAGTGTGGCTGTCAAACTGTCAAAAATTCGGCTTTGAGCAAACGTTCCACATAAAATGCTAAGATATTATTTCTATAAATTATTGCCTTTACGATCTCTAGATCGTCCCGTGGCATACGGACAGACAGGCAGACGACAGAATGTCAGCAATCGGGCTCGCTCCGTTTTTATACATATAATTAATAAAAACCTCCCCCTTTTCAAGTTGGTTACATTTACTACCGTCAGTCCACTGCAGACATCTCGTGGTCCGACTGTATCGACCGATAATACTATAATCGTCACAACAGTTCTGAATTTCATTATTCTATTCATAAATAGATCATGATCAGCAGGGCCGGTTTTAGTACTACCAGCGCCCTGGGCGAGATTTCTGCGGCGCCCCCTAACTGTTATTCTAATCCATACGAATCAAGGCAAAGGAAAGAAAATAATTTTTTTTTTGTTTTTTAGCCTATAAAGGCGAAATATTTAGTTATTGTTACGACCAACTTGTATTTTTTACCCGTTTTAATTATACCATGTTTTTATAGTTTTCTGTTATAAATACTTTGTACAATAATCATAGACAATGCATTGTCATCTGTAAAATTTATAAAACAAATTAAAATCAGTGCTCAACCAACTCGCGTTTTACTTATATGTGGTGTCAGAAGAAAAGTAAAAAAATAGTAAAATATAAGATAATGCCTCTCACAAGAACGCAAGCTAAAGCCGCCAAGTCGGCAGTGCCACCTGCAGCTATGGATCGAGAAGATTCGCCGGGAGGAGCCTTCGAAAATATTGCCGTCGAGACGGCAGGCCCCTCTACAGCAACCGGTGAACCCTCGCCAGCGTTGAGTATGGTAGATTCTATAGCCACTAGTTCCAAAAGTGCCCTTTCTAATCGCTCCAGCAGCACTATTAAGGCTAAGATATTAGCTGCAAAAGCGGAGCACGCCCGTAGATTGGCGGAGGTCGATGCAGAGCGCGACCGTGCTCAAGCCGATCGGGAGCGTGCTCGAGCAGAGCGTGAGCGCGCGGTAGCCGACCTGAAACTGCAGGCCGCGCTAGCTGCCATTGAAACCGACTCCACACAGCGATCTAATAGGTCACATGGCAGCTCTAACTCACAACGAGTAGAGCATTGGTTAGCTCAGTCTTCTTTTAGTAAAGACAATAACGCTGATATATTGCTCGACAGGGAACAGGTTTTGAACGTTAAGCCACAACCATTGCAGTGGTCAGCGCCACCCAACACTGCGGATGGAGCCTACACGGAACGGCCGGTCATTTCCTGCTCGCAGCCAGCACCAGTTGAGCCAGCTGACCCAACAACACAACATTCGATAGGTTTAGGCACACGTAAAAATGAAAATTATTGTAATTGCTACCAAAATAAAACTAGCGATCAGAATGTAGGCACACAATTTATTCAGCTGGCCAACGCTATCGCAGACCTCGGGAAGAAGCCAACAAAGGTTTGTGACGTAGCTAAATTCGATGGGCGTGTCGCTGACTGGTTTCTTTTCAGAAAATCTTACGATCAGTCCAAGGCGCACTTCTCTGCCAGCGAAAACGTCGCAAGACTTAGCGCAGCGCTGAGCGGCGCTGCTAAAGAAGCAGTCGCTATGCGTTTGGTGGTTGCCGAAGACCCGGAGCAGATCATGAAGGCCCTTGAGGTGAGATTTGCACAGCCCGAAGTCATCATCCTTCAACAACTATCAGTCGTGAAAGCGCTTCCTAAACTCGGTCTGTATGAAAACTCGCGTGATTTAAATATATTTGCTGGTCGCGTCCGCAATTGCATCGATCTCGTTCGCCTATTACAACAACCAGAGTATCTTGCTTCGCCAGAGTTGTCCAACTCTATCATTAGTAAATTGACTCCGCTTCTTCGGTCTAGGTGGGCTGATCATGCGGCGGCAAGAGTTGGCTCTGGCAAATTTAAATTAGAACTTTTGTCGGAATTTTTAGAGAACGAAGCGTGTTTACAAAATAAATTTGGCATTGTCACGTCAGAGTCAACCTTTGTCAAAAGTCAAAGTCAGCCTGTCAAGACCAAAGATAAAATTTTTCCAAACGCAGTTTCGTCATATTCGCCTAGTAAACCAAAAAGTTCCGATTTATGTAATTTTTGTCATACCGCTGCACACAAAATTAGCGAATGCAAAGGATTCACATCACTTAACTTGGATGATCGTTGGCAGTGGATCATGGATAATAAACATTGTCGCAAATGTTTACGGAAGGGCTCTCACCAGTATAGAAACTGTAAGACCAGATGTGAAGTAGATTGCTGCGTAGCGAGTCGCGGACATCACACTCTACTGCACAGGCCTAGGTCCGATTCACCGGGGCCCATCACTCAACCTAACGAGCAAACTGCCATTGTAGCACATAACGCTGCTCCGATCGTTAGTAGGCAGCAACCGCTACTTAAGATTATTCCCGTGACGCTTTCTGGTCGAAAAGGTAGTGTC